TTTTTTGTGTGTAAGTGGACAAAAAAAGGTTCCTTAATATTACAAAAGACTTAAAAATCATTTGACAAAGAAAAAAGGGATGACAAAATTATATTTTTAAATTTTAGAGTAATTTTTATTAAGGTTTGAGAACCATCCTTAACACGTTCAAAACAGAAACGTAATAATAATAAGTTTTTATTTTTTTCTTTTACCTAAACCCTTTTTTTGCCTTCATACACAAAACAAATTTTTGAAAATTTTTATTTATTTTTTTATCAACTCAATTTTGAATTGTATATTTTATAGTCACACTTAAAGTGAATGAGTTTATTTGTGTTAAACAAGAGCAAAGCATTAGAAAGAAAAATGGGGTCTAATGATGGTTTGATATTTTTGGTTGTTTTTTATTTAAAAAGTATATTGTCATTTGATTATAACAATATTGGTGTTTATATTTGTTAATGTGACTATTTGACATTGTTTGTTATAAAGTGGATTGACGATAAAGCGTTTTAATTATAATGTTGAACATTATAAAGCGATATGAAATTTCATCCAAAAAGATTATTTTTGATCAATCTTAGTTAATTGAGTTCTCATTTGTTAAATGTTTTAAGTGAAATAAAACTGACTATTGGCCGGTTTGGGTTAGAAAGGGGTTTTGAATAAAAAATAATAAAAAATGATTTGGACAATTTCCTTTTTACTTATTTTTCTTCTTAAAAAAAAGTTTTGGGTTGTGAAAGTGTTAAGGGATTTTGTTTACATTTCTCGAATAAATTAATTCAGTTGTTTTACCATAAACTCGGTTTTGCTATAAGTAGGAATTTGAGTAATAATTATAACTGTAATGATTGAATTTAAAAAACTTGAAAATTATTTGGAAAAAAAACATAAAAAGAATTATCATCCGATAAAAATTGTTGTTTTATACTCTTTTTAAAACATGATATCGACCAAGCTTGTAGATATCATGTCTCTTCAGTTCATAACCGAATAATTGTAATTTAAAATGTGTTCAAAACTCCCTCAAAATTGGAGTGAAAAACCACGCCAAGAAGGAGAGGAAAATTATGAAAGTCACAAAAGAAATAAAAACCAAAGAAACAAAGAAGTCATAATTACCAAAAAGGCTGTTTAGAATGCGGAAAATGTTCTTTTGTGTTTTGTGAAGATTCATTATTCTTTAATTATCTTCGGGAAGAGAGCATCTTGGCATGATTGTTTCCACTTTATAAAGCGAAAGCTATGTGACATTAAGAGCACTTGCCGTGCTTTTAGAAACACACCCGAAGTCGTCCAATTGAAGATTTTCGTGCATTTTCTAACATGTTTTCAAATGCAGCAATCATCAAACGACTCTTTGCTCCGCCCGATGAAACAGCGACAGTTTCAGTATCTGATTTGGAATGGAAGAGTAAAAAAGCTTTTATCTTCCATTGAAATTTCGGTGTTGGTCAGTCATATTAATGAATTGGTATAACAAATCAAGTTTTCGCGAAACTCGGGGTAACACATTCCATTATAAAAATTCAAATTGCCAGTATTTGTGACAACTTCCATGTATTATACCATGGAGATCACCAAGTCTACTGAAGTCCCGTTGACACGCTTCAATGGAGTTTCGATCCTTTCACACTCACAATTGGCGAATTGGAGGAAATCCAGAACTGAATTGTTCGAAAAGACGTTTCTTAATCGAGTTCAGTTCCATTTTTTTGTTTATGGCAAAAATAAAACGTTGTTTTTACAGTATGAAGAATAAACTACCTGACGTGAATGAGCCACATTATGGTTTTTTATATAGTTTTATTTGAAATTTGTTTTTTATTTTAAGAACATAAAAATATTTGAATAACAAAAACTGTAAATAACAAAATGTCGAAAAAAATGACCGAAAAAAGAAAAGCTTTAAGTCTTCAAGAAATCAGAAGAAACGCATTGGCTCCGCGTATTAACACTCCAATGGAAAGGGAAAAAGTTAACAAACTACTTGAAACAATAAAAAATCGGAATCATTAAAACAATCTTTATTGGAGTCTTTAACAATGACAGAGCAAATCAAATTATTGTCAAATAACACTGATTTTTCTCTAACAATCATGAGTAGATTATTCAGCATCACTCCTCAAACACTTTTTGATCATTTAAAGAAACCAAACACTGTTGATCCAGATTGGCATTTTCGTAAAATAACAAAAAGAATGGATAAATATATTAAAAAACTCATACCGTTGTGTTCAGAAAAAAATTGCATTAATTAATCCACTTATAATGAATGTCTGTGAAAAAATTGATCCTTTCTTCGAAATATCACACAGTGGTTTAAGAAGACACATGATCATTTTCACGATTGTGTGAAAAGCAAAGCAGTGCCGGATGAATTGGAATGAGTACAACTTGGTTTCATCCATATTTACGACAATTACAAATTATTGAAATTGTTAAATGGAACACCAGCAGCACTTATTTTTCAATGTAGATGAAGTCGGTTTATCTGATTGGATGGATAGACATAACATGTTTGTTTATGTTACCAAAGAGAAGTACGAAAAACTTAAGGATTCAGAAGAACCCAAA